TTCCTGCTGCTGCTTCTCCTGTGGTTATCCAGCAAAGGAGTTACCTGTCTGCTCCGCTCATGCTGCGGAGGTGATTAATCAGGTGGTGCTTCCCTCTTCCTTGAGATGAAGGGAGCACCAAGCTTTGGTCCCTTTCATCGACATTTTAGGCTGCACTCGCAAGTGGCGTCACGGGTTCTGTTTACTAAGAAGCAGAGGGCATCCGCAGCCTGCTGGGATTAAGGCTTGCAGAAGACTAACTCTTAGGCTTTTAGACAGTAACTGAAGAGAAAGATATTGATTACTGGGAGAATAATTTACAGCATGTTGAATATTAAAGACGTCAGAGCTGTAGTTAGTATCTTCAGTGGCATGCTGACTCCTTACCACTGCATTTGTTGGAGTGTGTAGTAGCAGAGCTGCCAAGGTTCCTTTTAAAGTCTTGGGTGTTACAGCAAACACAGGATGATCATATGAATGAGCAATCTTTCAATTGTCTCACTTCCAAGGAAGTTTAAATGGAGAATTAATCCTCTGCTCCATTGTCATCCTCTGCCTTCACATCCGTCTCCTTCCTCTTTGCTACAAACAGTCTAAGGTTTAAGTGTGAGGAGAAAGTAAGATTGGCATTTTTAGCTGTTAAATGAGGTTAATCAGCTTGGTAGTGGGTGGGAGAAATGTGCTCTGAGGTTAAGAATGTGATATTAATGGTTAGCAGGACCCTTATTATCAGTCCAGTGTAAATTCCCTTCTGTTAGGCATGAACTTTTTGGTTAAAAATTACCTGATTGTTTTATTGTTCCTGTAATTAAGAGAAGCACAGAAATTGTGGGGAGGGTGTGTATGTGTGTAAAAAGAAGGCATCCTTTTCCTCTTCTCTTGAAGACACCGTCTTGAGTTTGACGGAAGGGAATTAGGGCTGTAAATCGCTGTTCTGCAAAATGCACTTTAACTGGCACAAAGAAATGGAACTACTGGAATTTCTGCAGGATGAGGAAGGTTAGTCTGAGCAGACTTTGAGATGCGTAATTTTGGCAGCTGCCCAGAATGGCTGAACTACTGGGGAGGAATGCTAATCCTTTTTGCTAGCTTTTGGCATAGTCAGTAAAAATATGCAGATACGTCTTCCAAAAATACATCCCTTTTTTTGCAGAATGCACAGTGCACTGTAGGGATGCAAATAATACAACAGGATAACCGGAATGCAGCCAGTATTCCTCACTTCAACAGTTAAAACCTTGAGAAGCAGCATATCAGTTTTTGCAATGTCTGCTTGACTTCATCCATAAATGACAGCCTGCTGGCAGAAAGACCGGGAGGAATGATTAAAGCCATGCAACACTCCTTCTGTAACAGAAGGAGACCATCTTACAGATTGCGAATATAATTGACTGCTTTAATTAATTTCACCTTCCTGACTTTAAAATCTGAAAAACGAAGTTACTATTTTTATAGAAATGTACGTGTAATTAGTAGTCGAAAACAAATAGGATATGGAAATACGAGCTAAAACATTTGATGACAAATGCAAATTTCAGCCTAAATATTTTACTCTGCTTGGCAGTAAATTGTTGCTGGTAAAAAAGATGCACAACAAATCTTCCGGCATAAATCAAACTTCAGCTGTACAATGGAGAATTCGCACGCTGTTACGTTGGGTATTCCTGCACCACAATAGCAGGAAAGAGCGGCTGTAGCCAGCGTGTCATCTTGGCACTGCGCTCGTGGGAGCTGCGGCTGCTGCATTAAGATGTAACCCGTTCAGGTGCCTCTGATCGCGCCTGAAGACAGCAAACTGCAATACCACTGTGCCTGCCTGCGTCCTTCCCTGCTGAAATGGTCCGCCCTGCCTTCCATTTCAGATGGGATTAAATTTGCACTTTGAATGCAGAGGTGCATCGAGTAGCATAGTGATTATGTATGCATCAAATCAGCTGCCTCAGTGGCAATATCCCGCAATCTAGCCACCACCAGCTTTCTTTGTGGATTTGAAAATAGGATGAAACGATGTGTTTTGGCAGATTTAACCATGCATTTTCAAGAATGCTTTGATGTAATAGCTGTCTGGGCCTGTGGTTTGCCACTTTCAGTTAAACTATAAAAAGTGTTGAAGTGGCAAGAGAAATTATCATGATGGTACTCAGAGATTATGTTCACAGGGTTGCTTTTAATCATGTGGTATCCAAAGTTTCTTTTCCAGGGGTGTAATTCCTGTTGTTATAGACTGGACAAGTCTTGTGTGGCACTGCTACCTATTCGAAAAGAGTGGCACACGTTTTACTCTCTCCCTCCCCCCCCTCCCCCAACCTCAAACCATATCCATGCGTATGAAAGCGTATCGTCACGTTTTCAGGAATCTTAGCTTTCAAGTGAGTATTGTCAAATACTGGTTTTTGCTCTTTAAATGGTTTCAGTGCTTAAAAAGAGGAACTGCCGGATATTTTTACACTTAATCCAATAATGAACTCAAACATAATGATGCTTGTAGTATGAGGTTTAATTATACAGTTTGTAACTGTAATTCCTGTTCTTCTACGCTTAGAGTACTGTAGCAGCAGTCAGTGTACTCATTCAAGGATGCTCGTCTGAGTACTCTGCTTGCAGCTGTAGTGCTGGGAAATGACTGAGGCATGTACATTAGTGAGGATTTTGATGTAGAAGGCACATAAACGTATGAATTGATTGGACCGAACAGATAAATAGTAAGACTCCTGATTCTGATAACTTACCTTCAACTGATTTTTTTTTTCCACTGAAGATTTCCCACCTTATTTGCAACCAAATGTTGCATAGGAGAGCAGGAAGAGTAGTGATCCCAATGAAAGTGGATTTAGCTTTTATTCTCTTACAGACTTAATGTTACTGGTTTGAGGGTGTACAAGTGAGGGGGACCATCTGCTTTACATTTCAAATAACTGTCATCATCCTACAGCTGTCAGAAGCCTTGTGATTTTGGGGTTAGAAAAAAAATAAATTTTCTCCATAGTTAACACTTCGCCTGCAAATCTTGTCTTTCAGATGGGAAGAGGAACTGACAAGAAGAATGAGTCTGGAATCTATGGTAGAAACCTTGCGAGAGGTAAGTTTTTGAACAGTGCGTATTGAAAGGTGTAGGTTTTCTCTGCACCTGTTATTATGCTAGTCATTATTTGAATTTGTTTCATTAAAAAACTGTCTCGTAGCTAGAGCAGCTGACTGCATTGCTGTATGCTAGAGAATAGTGTTAATGTTTGGAAGCTGAAGCAGGAAGGTGCTGAAGTTTCTGACAAAGCGAAATGTGGGGGTGGTGACATGCCTTATCAGCCCTGCTCAGGTTAAGTGAGGAAGCATATGTTGGCCTATTACCTCTTAGTTCTTTGTGTGCTTTCTCTTGCAGGAGGCGCAGGAAGCGGAAGCTCTCCAAGAGGAGTTAAACGAAAAGATTGAGAGACTGAAAGCAGAACTTGTGGTCTTTAAGGGTCTGATGAGTGATGTAAGTACACCGGAGAGCAGAGTGGCCAACTCCCACTGCCTTTGTGAAATGTGTGTGTCATGCAAACGGCTTCATTCATAAAAAGGTTATGGTCTTAGTGAGTGCTGCTTTGTAGTTAGCATTATGGCTGCCTTTATGATCTAATGCATCAGACAGATCACCCTTCCCCCTGCTTCCTGTCTGGTCTGTGTAGAGATGCATTAACTTGCTGCTTAGCCCATAACCTGGACTCCTCCCTCCCTTCCCCCTTCTCTACAGCTGGCAGTGCCAGTGTTCAGACCTGCAGCTGTGGAAAAAAATGTTGGAGAACTCGCAGGTTAGGGTAAAGGGTTCATCACTGTGCAGCACCATGTACTGCTAACAAGGGGGGCTTTGCTCCGAGTCACGCAAGAAAGTAATGTTCAAAAAGGAACACGCTGTATGTGTTTCCCAACTCCCTTTATGAAAGCTCTGAAGAGATTAACCCAGTGTCATGGGTTCAGGTGTCTGGCTTTGTTTCCAGTGCTGCTTCAACCTAAATTAAAAAAAAAAGAACCAAACAAGCAACTTGTTTTCTCAGGAATTTCCTCATGTCTCGTTTGATACTGACTATCCTGACTGGATAATTTTCTTACATTTAGGCATACTGAGAGCATGTACTCATGCAGATATCTAGAAAGATAAGCCAGGTGAACATTAAGTAAGGTGCCTTTCTCTGTAAGACCGAAGTAGTGCTGATGCCAATTGTCTAATGAATATGTCCTATTATGCTTATTTATTCTGTAATTTTGTGTAGAATTGCTTCCTTCTGTCTTTATATAAGCTTGCAGAACCCGCTCCCTGGTGTCAAATACATTCTCTCAGGGCCACTAGATCTGTTCACGTGAAATTTGGCAATTAGCTGTCTCTTCTTTTGGTGTCTAATCGAGAATAGGCATGCTTGGTTAGAGGCAGTGTGAAAGGGAGAAACTTGTTAGGGCTGCGTCACTGTGAGGACTTCGCTGAGGAAGAAATGTTGCTCAGTGTGTACAAAAAGGGCATCGGTGAATGCAAACATCCTCCTCGACTTGAGAGGAAGCGTGCTTTGGGCTTTGCAAACTCTGTAAGGTAGAAGAGAGCCAAAGGAAAGCAGTGAGAATGCTTGTTTTGGATCCCACTGTGTAAATATTTAGAGCAGAGAAATGCAAAATGTTGGCATGGGACTCTTGCCTTCCTGCAAGAGAATCACTGGTACCCATGCAGTTGATAAGATTGTGTTCAGAGTGTGTCAGTGTTCAGAGGTTTCTTCTTCTCAGTGTGTTTGGAAAACAAAGATCTCTTAACTTGTCCAAAGGTGGTTGACAGGGGCTGGAGAAGAACTCTCTCTAATAATTTAAAAAAAAAAAAAAAGACACCCCCCCCCAAAAAACCCAAAGCTTTCTTCTTGGAAAGGGCATTTGGTATTTAAGAAAAAGCTCTGCAAAGGGTTTTTCGGCTTTTCTGGTCAAAGTGGAAGCGTTGCCTAGCTGTTGAAGTGGTACTTTCCAACAGAGTAAGTCTCGTCTAGGCTGGAAAATATGCTTTTTGTGGAACAATGTTTCTTCATAAGGAGCCAGCTGTACTGTCTGAGTGAGAGTATCTCTTAAGTTTTATGTTTATAATTACTGCCCAGAGTGAAGCAAGACAAAATATTTTTTCATGTAGAATTTTTGCTAGGCTGGAAGCCAGGTCAATGCCAATGAGGAGTATTTTCTGTGTTACAAGCTTTCATGGATCTCTTTAGATCCAGTCTCAATTTTATGTTTTCATGGCATGTATGAAGTTGCTGAGTAGCCTGGATTCTGTTTTAAAAGCAACTTCTCCTTGCAGGCACAGTTTTTCTGTCTGAAAGCGGGGAAAGTGTTGCGTATTCACCAGGTTTTAGATTTCATTCTTTTCTGCACGTGCTCAACAGGGTTTTTCTCCTCCATTTTTAAAGCTTTATTGTCCCATAAAAGTTTACTGTTGCCACATCTAGCAGTTGTTTTGGGGTGGGTATAGGTTTTTCGGTGGCAAATCACTGAGTTGAAACTTTATTAGAATCGGATATGAATGTTAATTGTTAGCTGTCTAGTCTATTTAGATTGTGCGTGTACTGCCTTTCCCGGAGAACAAGATGTAATATTGTTTAAGAATGGTATGCCCTGGGGTTAGAGAGATACTGTGGGGTATCTCTTCTTTCCTGAACTGTATAATAATAGAAGATAATCACTACTGTCCTTCCTGCAGCCCATGACAGACCTGGACACAAAGATTCAAGAAAAGGCCATGAAGGTGGACATGGACATCTGTCGGCGAATCGATATCACAGCCAAGCTGTGTGATGTAGCGCAGCAGCGCAACTCTGAAGACGTTTCCAAGATATTCCAGGTGATTAGGCCATGAATTTTCCATAGGGTAGGACAAGAAGCGAGGGGACGAGAGGGAGCAGTGTTGAGGAGTGTGGTCCAGGTCATTTGCCTTTTCTTGAAATTTCTCTATGTAGACGTATTTTCTTCTTTCTCAGTCTTGAAGTGTAGCTCTCTTCTGCAGAAGCTGCTGTAGTACTAAGAGCGCAAAATTTAGAGTTTAAAAAAAGAAGTCTCGGGATGACCTTTAAGACATGCTGTTAGTCTGATGCTAGTCTACAATGAATGCAGGGGAAAAAAAGCATTACAGGGGCTAGGTTTGTATAAATGGCTTCCTCACATTTGTTCCCTTCACAAGTGAGAGGTTTTAAGCTTGTGGAACTGTCATCTGAATGTTCTTATTTCTGGCCCAAGCTCCGTGGCCAGAAATAACGCTTCTGTGGTGGTGAGCTATGACTGCTTTGTGAGACTAGAAACTCCAGTTGCTTTCCTTGAGCTATTGTGGCTCCTTGGTGCTAGTAGGAAAGTCATTTAATTTGCTCCAAAAGCAAGCAGTTACAGCTCTGTGTGGAGCAAACCTGTAGCTCCCAATGCAGTTGGTCTGTCGTAACTGCAATTTCAATTGTGATTGACCCAGCTTCCTTCTACTTTGATCTAAATGTGTCTTGTTCAGTCTTTCAATAAGTCTGATGCTTTTCTCTGTATAGTGATGCCATATAGTGTGCTGAATGCTGTACAAAAACACTGTAAATAATCCTCGTGGTCTCTACTGGTTGTGCTTTCTGGCTGTAGTGAAGTTGCCTAAATGTTTGATGGTTTTTTCCTTTTGTATCCCAAAAGATTCAAATCTCCTTATTGGAGACAATTATTCTTCTAGCATGTTGAGCCATTGCATCGTGCTAGTGGTTCCTTCTTGTCGTTGAGTAGAATTGTTATGTCTTTCTCCTCAAAAGTAACTGCAAAGCGCACTTTTGGTCAAGCATGCAGTGGTTAAAATGATCAGCACGGAGAACAATACCAATAAGGGATGGCTTGTATGCCAAGTAGAGGAAAAACTACAGTAGGTTGGGAGTGGACTGTGTGTTTGTGACTCTGTGGCACCATCTGTGAATATCTTTTATGTTCACAGTCCTCAGATGAAGTGATCCTCTGTGCCCTTTGCAGGGGTATCCCTTGAGTTCTCTGCACGTCTATGAACTTCATTTCTTTGAGGTCGTCCAGGCGTTTTCATGGTTCAGTTAACCCTTCTTCTGTCAACCTGAAGACTAGCAGCCTGCCTCTGCTGATGGGCTGGGAATGACCCTGAAATAAAGGCTATCTAGAAAGGCTTCCCGTCTACTCTTTCATGGTGGTTCAATGCTGGGAGCAACAGCCTGTGGTGGTGGCAGGAGAGGGAGAGTTCTGTCATTGCTCTCAAGCCTGCTGCCTGGGCACTCCTGCCAGCTTATGCTTTTACCCTGTATCATTCTAACCTCTGCATGTTCTCTGGTAGATCATAGACTGGTGTCAGTGAACAGATGAACATCTGTAGAGCGCTGGCAGCCTGCAGCTTGCTTTGCTCTTCGCCGTTCTGAACTGCTTCCTTGTGCTCTGTGTTCACCACTCATTAACAGATGCAATTCCTGTCTTGAATACCAGCAATCCCCAAATTGCCTGGGAACTGATGAAGTTATATTCGCTCAAACCTAATGCCTCTCCTTCTTTATTTCTGCCCCTCATGGCGCAGCACCTCAGTTGAACCTTCTAGTTACTGCTCTTCTCTCCAATTAAGGTGGCTTCCAAGAAGAAAGAACGCAAGCTCACGTCTGACGATGACCTCTCTGAACAGGATGGAGACAATGGCAGGTTCTCTGACGATGAGGTCAGCTGTTCTTTGAACATCACGGATGAAATGAAGCGTATGTTTAATCAGCTGTGAGTATTGTGGGCAACGTGGGGAAAACTTACTCTGAAATGCAGGCTTAGTCCCAGGACACCTGAGCTGCCGGCATGGTGTGGTTTTCTGGAAATTCAAATAAAATTAACTGATTTTTTTGTTCCTCCCATAAGTAGAGGGAACTATAGAGAATATAAAAAATACAAACGTCTAGTTTTACTACTATATGCTGTTATAACGGTAGCAAAAGAAGAAACATGCCACAAAAACCAAAAGTACGAAACTTGAGTCTGTTCTGTATGTTTGGCTGAATATTGGATTTCTAGAGTTTTGGAAAGAACCTTGCTGCTGCTTGGGCTGGATAGAATTTGGCAACGTCACTGAAAGCTCAGTTCGAAATGGATACAAACTTCTCTAGTATTTTGCATGATTTTTCAGTTGAGCTATAGGCAAATGGTAGTGGTGGGTGGATCTGGCCGGAAGATCAGTTCTAGCAGTGGACAATAGTTTATAGATTCCAAGAATGACGGTGTTGTAAGACTTGCTGCAAAGTCTGGTCTCCCAAACTGGAAGAATTGCAATTTATTTTGCCTAAAGCTTTACCCCAAATTGGAGTATTAGGAAGC